AAAAGAAAGCTAAGCATTATGGAGTTCAAGAAATGTGGGTTTAGCCTAGTGAGGCTGTACATGGAAAAAGTGAGAGTAATAATAAAAAAGGTTTATTTATTTAGTTTTTTTAGTTGATGCAGCTTTGGGGGAAATAATAATGGTTTTAATGCAAAATCACATGTCCAGAAAAGCCCATTTAAATTTGCATAAAGGATATTTTTTATTGTCTCGCTAATTTTTATTTTGATATATAAGGGACCAGGCATTTATATTTTCACAAAACTTAGCTGAGAAAATAAATGTTTTGAAGGCAGTGGTTTTAATCGAATGGCTTACTATTTATAACATTATTAAATCAGTAAATCAATAAATTTTAAGATGCTAATTTTAGTCTTCAGTTTTAAACACATTATGCTACAATTTAATGTAAAAATGGACAAAATTTTGTGACAGGTGTTTCTGGAAGCACTTTAGTGTTTTATATACTACCTTAGAATCATTGACTCTCAAGAGTTGGAAGTCATTTAATCTAAACACCCATTTGATGCTTGAACCATTTTGCCAAGTCACATAGTTTGAAAAAAAGATGAGGGGGTTAGGATTAAAAAACAGAAATGGGTGTGGTTTAGAGACAGAGCTTTAAGTGGGATTTAAAGATTTAACTTGAAAGCTCTTAAAGTCTAATTATATGGGGAGGTGGCAGTGTTTTTATTTGCTGTTTACCTTTGATCTAGTATTTATTTTTGGTATAGTGGGATATGGTTATGTGGAAATGTTTATAGTCTCTTCATTTAATGTAAAGATACTTGTTTGAAGTTCCCCTGTAGTTCTGATTTTTTTTTCTTAGCTAATATTAATATTTGGCTTTTGTTCCCAGACTAATAGCAAGCTATCTACCCTAGGTCTGAGTGATTTCTTTTGAAAGTGAAAGTGATACACTGAATTTTGCAAATTGCTTTATTGTTTTGGGACATATTAGATACATTAAGTATTAAAAAAAATTAAAAATCAACCCACATGAATAAGAAAGTAAAAACAAACATATAATCCACTGCTCAATGCTAACATTTTTATTTTTGTACCTTAGTTTGTGAAACTTTCATATGTACATACATATATATACTTATATGTGTATATACACATATACACATACACACAGGGGTGTATATACACATATGCACAGATGTGCACACATATTTGTATGTATATACTTGCATGTATATATGCATATATATATATATATATATATATATATATGTATTGTAAAAGTTGTGACATATTTTTTATGTTTTTCTATGCAAGAATGCATCATGACTTTCCTTATGACCTAATATATATGCAAGATTTTCACATATATATCTTATTTTCTATAAATTGGTTGTTATTATTATACATGTATTTTTTCAACAATATAAGGGGTCTTTTTATGACAATACATAAAGACATAATAATTTTTTAATAGTTATAAAGTAGTGTTATATGTACATACCATAATTTACTTATCCAATTAGGTTATCTATAATTTTTGACTATTATAAGAATGCTATCATCAACATATATATTACGTGTATGTAACTTTATGTTTTTGTGATTAGTTCCTAGTATAATTTTGAAACTCAAATATATAGACATTAGAGATTTTTATATTAGCTATCAAATTAGAATTTAGAAAAGTTGTACCCAGTTTATAATCCCATTGATGGTACATATATTTTCATACCCTCATTAATCCAGTTTTTTTTCCCTAGTTTATAAAATAGTTTCCAATATTGTAAGTGAAAATATGTTATTTACACTTCACTGACCGTTTGAGACAGTATACACATTTTTATGTTATTGGACATTTTTATTTCTTCATTTGGACAGTTCTTCATATGATTTGTGCATTTTTGAAAGTTTTATTTATTTCTTCTTTGAGCAAGGGAGACAGAGAGAAATAGAGATAAGGGAGAATAGAGATAAGAAAGAAAAACAGACTACCCCCAACAGGGTATAATGGCACAATCCGGCCCAGCTTAACTAGGCCCAGAATACTCAGGGAGGTCTTTGGATGTGAACCTGGAACCTTACCTTGTGAGTCAACTTTGCAGAGTGTTGTGTTTATCTCTGTGCCACCATCTGGCCCCTGTGCATTTTTTTATATTGAAGTGTTTGTAGTAAAGTATATTTAGTAAATTAAGAGTATATAAAATATTTGATGACTAAAAAGTATGGAACATGTCACCACCCTGGTTAGATCTAATGGTTTGCGGTCCAGGTTGGATTACTGGTCGTTTGAAATCCTTGGGAGAGAAGGACATTTTTTTTTTTAATTTCAATTAAAATTTGTGTGTTCTTAATGTCCAGTGTAATCCAAAACCCATGGTTACTATTTGCTGAATGAATGAACAAGCAAATAAAGGACTGGAACAATTCATGGGTGATTGGGATGTTTTGAGGATTGAGATTTTCTAGAACAGATGGTGATTTGTCTGGCATTTCCTTTTCATTTTCTTCTCACTGTTGTGCTGCCCAGGACCGAAGTGATCACTTTTATTTTGGGAAATGTTTTCATCAGATTAAACTTTTCTAGTCTTAAAGAAGTAACTTATTTTAAATTCTGTGTGTATTAGTTCTTAATTCTGCCTACCATATAGTGTTCCTTGTTTATTCCTAAATTCTCTGCATGAGGAAATATGCATTAAAATAATCTTTCTTGTATAATAATGAAGTCTGTGACTTTATGAAATTGTTATTTTTAATTATCTTCTCTAAACATCACCAATAGTGCAAATCAGTTGATAATGAGATTCAGAATTGCTTTTTTAAAAGAGTATTTTGCTAGAGGATGTGTACACTCACCAGAGAGAGACAGAGAGAGGTAGAGAGAGAGGGAAAGTGCGGGTATGGCCCCCTATGGGGGCATGGTCATGACCCAATCCCATCTCTATTTCTCCCTTTGGGATTTTGGGTATGCATGCATACCTGCCTGGCAGGTATTTTAGGCAACTAGGTCTGGGACTCCACCTGCGTTGTTGGCCATCTGGAATCACCATGGCTGGCCATAGAATTGCTTTGAGCATGTGTAGCGGAACTACATTGTTATGACAAATGAGATTTATTTGTATTTGTATATATTACAATGTATTTGACACAAATATCTGGAATCTGAACTATTCCAAAATTTAAAATATTTCGAATTCTTAACCCCTTGAGCGTCTAATGATTGAAAAAAAAAATCAATTTGTTAACTACAATATTTTCTGGCTAAATTTTCTTCTGTTCCCCCTCATTGTTTATATACAAATGAAAGTGTATCACGTATCTTGTACAGTTTCAATTTTCTATTTAAAAGAATAGTTGCCAGGAAAACGAAGTATGATATTTTAGAAATGTATAAAAAACCCTTCCAGATTTTCCTGGAGTTTAGGCACTTGGATATACAGTGTCTTGCTATAGATTTATTGTCTGCATAACTTCTTTATAAAGAAATAATAATTTATAACTCAGGGAGAGTGGCTTATACTAGAGCCAGCAAGGTTTGCTGGTTTGGGATAGTACATATAAGGTGTCCAAGTAAAATTGTGTGGTTTTCCACATGAAATTACTCTCCTGGATCCCAGAACATCAGAAAGTCATGAGGAAGAAAAGGGTAATTCCACAAATGAATGATAAAACTATGTTCCCTTGCCTTGCTCTCTTTTACTTTTTGCACCCATGGAAATAGGCATCATAGGGTTGCAGAAAACAGGAGCAGGGATGGCCCAAAACTTTATTTCTCTGCAGAGAGAAGGGGTTCTAGTAAAGAGACATAATGAATATATTAGCAACCTGTACTTAAAACTGTTCAAATGCTCAGGCCTTTATCATCCAGCTGTCTTAACTACAAAATAGGATAAATTATCTGGGTCCCTTCAATAAAAGCATATTTTAGAGCCTAGGGAAGGGCTGAGTTATATATTCATGTCTCAGTTTAATTTCAAATGCCAGTACCTAGTTTGTTAAGGCCATTTGTACTCTACTTGTAAAGTTGGGAGTAGTGGTTTCTACCAGTGGTGTTGATCAAGACCTTTTTTTTCCCCCAGAATGAATTTTATTTAATTTAGTTAGCACTAACTAACCTAGATGGTTACTGGCCACATTTTAAAAACACAGTTGAATCAAACCAATCCCCAGAGCCTAGGAAAGTTTCTGACCTAAATCAGGAACCCGAGCTCCATTATTGTTTTCAGTTGAACACTACTCATAGCCGTCCTAACATTTTGGAAAGAATACAGCTTCTATAACAAAGTTTCTTTGTTTTCATGGAACTAAAAATGTGCTGTTTTTAGTCCAAACAATAAAAATAAACTTCCAAACTACCTTCTAATGCATGGGGGTTCTGGAGGGAGGAAGCCATAGATATTTAGAGGCATGAAGTGACTCACTGTGCTAGTTAAATTTTTTTATGAGGCTAACTCTGTGTGTTTCAGTTGCATCTGTTACCTCTTCAGCTGGGAGTAACGTGCATGCAAGCAAAAAGAATTTTGTACTGAATCTTGGCTTATGCAGAATACATTGTCACTAGCCTAAGCATCTAGTGGGTTCCACACCTTAGGAAGAACAAAACCTGTATCTTTCTTATTAGTTCAACGTACAGACTGCTCCTGTTGGACACATTCAAGATATTCTCCATGGAGCTATTAACTTGCAGACACAAATTAAACATAGTTTTTCAAATGTAACTTGTAAGCCCTTATTCTTTTTTTTTTTTCAAAATAATTTCCCTTTTGTTTTTCTTATTCATAGTTTTAACCATTTACTACTAGCAGTTCTGCTAAAAGTCGTAGTAGAAAGGGACACTGTTTTCTTAGATGTAGAAATGTGAAATAATTGCTTCTTTCAGCATTATCATTTTGGAAAGAGTTGTTAGAGTAAATGGGGACAACGGCCTGGTTAAAAACAGTATGTTTTATAACTTGAATTTATACTTCTTTAATAAAGCATATAAATGCAATTTACTTATCCTTTTTCATTTCATTTTCTATCTAAATTTTCAGGTCACTTTCATGAATTCAAAGGCAATTTACCAGTGATTTCTGGGTGCTGGGGCTGATTTTTTTGTGCGTATTTGTAAGTATTGATTTATTATTTTTCCCATCGTGTAATGAGATAGTTACAGTTTGCAAGCAAGTTCTTAATTCCTTGTGTGTGTGTGTATTAGTTTTTTTTTTTTTTTAAAGTGTTTCATAAGCATTGTCAGTGTTTTCATGTTTTCTTGGGAAGAGTATAGAAAAAAATATCAGCTGATGAAAGAAGCTTCATTTTGTTGTGATTTCCAGTGAAATGACACAAAGCAGGATCCTTTACAATGAGCCTAAGGAATAATTATCGTACGTTTTTGAGAACAAGGCTCAGTTGTAGGAATAAGTTGCCTTAAAAGTCTAGTCTGTATACATACGAATACTTTACTCTGATAGCTTTTTAGTCTGGTTGCCTGGACTTTAAAAGTGTTTCTGTGCCTGTGCTCATGGAAAAGTGAGATGATACAGAATTCAAACAGCTGTCAGTATATAAGGAGATTGTGGGTTAAGGAACTTAAGACTTATTTGATGACTGTGTAATATATGTCAGAATGGTGGTATTCCTGCCTTCTTCTCCATTCCCAAATCATCATTATGTTTTAAGGGGTATTTTGGAGCACAAAGGTATTTTTTCTCAGGGAAGAAAGTAAATTTCAAGAAAGAAAGTCAAATGAACTTTACCTATCTATTAAGCTACTTTAAATGAATTGATACACATTTATTACGTAGAATTAGTTTAGAGTATGTAGCAGGTATTTGAAAATGTCTGTGTGTATATAAGCCCATATTAAAATAACTTAAGTGGGGCAAGCAGTTGTGGTTAAAGCTGTGGTGGTTAAAGTGCTGGACTCCCGCATGGCTGACCATGATTGGAGTCCCAGACCTAGCAGCTTGAAAATCATCCTGTGTGTGTGTGTGTGTGTGTGTGTGTGTGTGTGTAATCCCACAAAATCCCAGGAGAATAGGGGAGGAGGGATTGCTGCATGGCCATCCCTCCCCAGGGGGTGATTTCTTGCTTTTCCTCTCTGTCTTTCTCTGGCAAGCACATGCACACTATGGGTGGAGGGGACCTTTAAAAAATTAAGAAAAAAGGTAATGAGTTTAAGATAAATTTCTATGTGTATATTGTTGTAAAGCACTGGTTTTTAAGAGGCTCTTTTACATTTAATAATAGCAGAGAATAATAGCAAAGACAGGAAACTTCTTTGGTTAGGGTATTGGAGACTTAGAGAATATAATTTTAGGAAAGTATTTGAAAAAATGTTATAAGTTAGAGTTTAAGTAATTTGGTTCTTTAGCAGAGACCAGTGAAACTTTTTTTTTAAACAATATTTACCTTTCTTTTAGTAGTAGGATTGAATGGGGAGGTATTTTGAACTTATTATTTAAAAAAAGGATATACATGCTTTGTGTGTGTGTGTGTGTGTGTGTGTGTGTGTGTGTCCAAAATCCCAGGAGAATAGGGGAGGAGGGATTGCTGCATGGCCATCCCTCCCCAGGGGGTGATTTCTTGCTTTTCCTCTCTGTCTTTCTCTGGCAAGCACATGCACACTATGGGTGGAGGGGACCTTTAAAAAATTAAGAAAAAAGGTAATGAGTTTAAGATAAATTTCTATGTGTATATTGTTGTAAAGCACTGGTTTTTAAGAGGCTCTTTTACATTTAATAATAGCAGAGAATAATAGCAAAGACAGGAAACTTCTTTGGTTAGGGTATTGGAGACTTAGAGAATATAATTTTAGGAAAGTATTTGAAAAAATGTTATAAGTTAGAGTTTAAGTAATTTGGTTCTTTAGCAGAGACCAGTGAAACTTTTTTTTTAAACAATATTTACCTTTCTTTTAGTAGTAGGATTGAATGGGGAGGTATTTTGAACTTATTATTTAAAAAAAGGATATACATGCTTAATTTAGTTTAAATTACTATATTTTGTGTATTTTTAATGCTTTAAGAGTGAACAAGCTATTTTTATTAAACTGTATTAATTTATATTTTATTTTTTGAAGATTTAATTCTTATATAAAAAGCAAAATTGAACAAACTTCATGGTTCATTTGGATTAAATATAAGCTTTTAATTTGTGAAAGGTATTGTGGTGAGGATTAGAAGGCAAAGAAAATGGAGAAAGAAATGTAAAGTATCTTTGAAGAGTTCTTGATGAAAACAGGATTCTAAGGAGCTGAGCTTAATCTATTAGAAATCTGAGTGAAGGGAAATCATTTTGAGCTGTCCAAATCTTGTCTTAGTTGCTTTGTCCTTTTTTTTTTTTTACCTCCTTCCTCTCCTCCCTCATGTTATTTAGTCATTCCCTTTAGTAAGTTTTTAGTATGACTAAATGGTTTTAAATGTAATTAACAGCATTTGAACCAAATGGCCTTCATAAAAATATAGTTTACATTTCTCCTCACCCAGATTGCTTCCTTTGTTCATGTCTCTTCCTTTCACCAAGGTACACATAGTCTAGCTTGAATGGAAGTGATCCAATTAGCTACTAGTGTTCTTGTGCCCTGACAAAGGGAAAGACTAAAATTAGAATAAGATACTCTTCATATAGTTATTTCTGTAATTCAACTTAAAAAAGAAAAACAAAACTTCTAGCCAGACTTTGTCTGGTCACCTAGAAGTCATGTTAGTTATACAGGTGTTTGGCAATTATTTTCCCCAATCTTGAGAAGTGTCATGTTCTAGTTTAGGTCATGAACTTGGCTGTTCCTTTGGCCAGTGATCTCAAGCTTTGTTAGGCTCATCTCTTGACTACAGAACCTTCTTGTTAAGTAAGGTACCAGGATACTATGACTGAGATAAGTCAGATGAAATTAACATGGCATTCACAATGATTGAGTTTCTTCTTTCAATGATTGTGGAAACTGTCCACTACTTAAACTGAATGATGAGGGAGCTAACACAGTATAAATATTAACCTAGTCAGGCCGATGAACAAGCAAAAGAGATCAGTGACAATGGCTTCTTTTATGAATCTTAATTTCCATGTCTTGGAACTGCTTATTTGCCACATGATCTAAGACAGAAAGTTATACCTCATGGCCATGGGAAGGTTTCTCAGTAGGGTGTGCAGAAGCCAGTCTGTGAGATAAGGATGGTGGGATATTGTTTTGCACATCCATAATGAATAGGCCACACCAAGAGTGTGTGAGAACCGATTGGAATCTTACCTACTCACATCTACTACCCAGGTCAGAAGATGAAAACACTGTGAAGGAAATGGCTATCTCTTTAGAAGCTGCATCTTACTCTTTTTTTTTGTTTGTTTGTTTAAGATAAAACTATCTTTCTTTTTCCCCAAAGTAAGTATTGCATAAAAAGACTTGTTTTCACATCAATATCCTACATTTAATTCTTTATCTCTATGAAAAAATGTTATGTTAGAGTTTAAGTAATTCAGTTCTTTAGCAGAGAACAGTGAAACTTTTTTTATTTAAAAAAAACTCTTTAGCTTTCTTTTAGTAGCAGGATTGAGTGGGAAGGCATTTTAAACTAACTTTAAAAAAAGGATGTGCATGTTTAATTTAGTTTAAATTAATGTATTTTGTGTGATTCTGACCATTCAATTTTACCAAGGCAATAAATGATTGGTTAAAAAATAAAAATAAAGGAACCAGCAGTTAGCGTAATGGCTATGTTGCTGGACTCCCATGTAGTTGACCGTGGTTCGCGTCCCAGACCCGGTGGCTTAAAACTCACGCCGGGCGCATGTGCGTGCATGCCCAAGATCCCGAGAGGAGAATGGAGGAGAAGGGATTGTGGTGTGACCATCCCCTCGGGTGGGTGATTTCTTGCTTTCTGTCTCTCTGTCTCTGTCTGTCTGGTGAGCGCACACGCCCTATAGTGAAAACCTCTCCAAAAAATAAATAAATAAATAAAAATAAAAATAAAAAACAAAAATAGGGCTGGTTCAGTGGCATAGCAGTCACACACTGCTCAGCAATGCTGGATCCATGTGGAGGACTGCCAATTTGGTTTCTCAGTTGACTTGTACATGCTGTGAACATGGGCCCATGATCCTGTCTTGTTGAGAGGAGTGGGAAGAGGGAGGGCTGTCGCCTATGGGGCTCTGTTGAGGGTGCTTGTCTTCTCTTCTGTTTCTGTCTGTCTCTCTTTCTAATTGAAAAAAAAAAAAAAAGGCTTAAAACTATTTTATAAATGAAAGCTAAAAAACTATAGGTGACCAGCAGGTGGTAGTGCTGGATCCCACATGACTGGCTGTGTGGTTTGAGTCCTGGACCTGGCAGCTTGAAAAATCACACCAGGCACGTGTGCATGCATGCCCCAAATCCCAGGAGTAGAATACAGGAGAAGTGATCGTGGTGTGGCCATCTCCCCCAGGGGGTGATTTCTCATTTTCTCTCTCTTTTTCTCTCCCTCTCTGTCTCTCTCTGGCGAGCGCACATACATTATAGCAAAACTAAAACAAACAAAACAATTTAACAAAGGGTAGCTTATTAGGTACCCTGTTTTTGCAGGTTACTCAAACCTTTTTAGTAATTTGATAATGAATTTTCTTTTATAAAATTCTGTTCTTGGTCCACAATAGCAACCTTTCCCTGAGGTCTCTGACAAGTGTTTTGTGGTCTGGTACAAGAAGTACCCTGTAGTCTAGTTTTGAGGTAATAATAACTATAATACCTTAAGTTGATATAATACTTGATTTTGAAGGCATTGAAATGACTAAATTTTATAAAAACTGTGGGATGAGTAGGAATTAGCCTAAATTTTACAGAGCAGCAGGGCTCAAACCTAGAATTCTTGATATAAATTCACTGCTTTCTGAATCCATTCTGTCTTCTCTCAGAAAAGATCTAGGTCTCTTTCTGTTGTTTTGATGACTATCTCAGTCTCTACTTGGTTATTGTACAAATATTTCAACAAGCTGAGATAGAATGAGTCAGGGAGGAGATTGTAGAGGGCTCTGTACCACTTCAGTTTCTCCTGTTCCTGGACCATTTGGTCCTCCCTGACATTTTCCTACTCCTTTATTCCAAAGTTGCCACATGTCATGCTTCAGCTGAAATTTTTTGAATTGTGTAGATT